CGGCGCTCCGTCGGGTTCACAGACCCAAGCCTCACCTTGAAGCGAACCGGCATGTCGCCCGGAGCTGAAGACCCCGCCACTCCGACAGTTAACGGGATAAAAAGCCCCAAAGGGGGCGGGGTGACAACAATCGGTTCCCAGGCAAAAGCCTCGGCCTGGCGTCCCCGACTACGCGCCGGCGCACTCCACGCCTCACGCCTAGAGCGCTGTCGTTCCGCTTTTCCCCGCCCAGTTTTGAGCCGAAAGACCAATAGGAGCGCTCAGAGCTCCCGGCCGGCCTTATGATTCAACCAATCAGTACTGGGTAGGGGACCGCCCCGCCTCCCGTGCCAAATCAGCAGGGGTTATAGAGATGGCGGGCGGATGGCTGGCCAATGAGGCTCCCGGAACCAGGGTGGGCGTGGCCCCGCGGGAGCTTCGTCTTAGAACTGAACCCACCATCCTGGACTGAGGCTTGGCGCCACAATGGGTCTGAGTAGCCGCTGTTGGTGGGTTGGGTTGGGGGAAGGGGGGAGCGATGGAGTACCTTGACATCAGAAAACATGAAAAACCGCTTTCTTCATTCCAGAATGTACAGCAGATCGAAATGTTTTTCTGAAAGGAAAATGTTCAGATCCCTGAAAATCAACATCCCAAAGCCACATTGCACTATTGTCATACCAAAGGGCTATAAAAATATATATATAACAAAAAGTAAACAAATAAAACAGGCAGGTTAGCATACATTTTATTGACATTCGAAGAAAAAGAAAAAGCACTCTTCCTATCAACCGCTGAGACCCCTCCAGGAAAAAAAATACCACACGTTGATTAGGAAGCATTTATTAAAACCGCTTGTGAGTCTCATATTCTAAACTTTGAGCTCTGTTTCTCCCTTCCTTTTTTCTAAAACATAACTCCATCTGATTTTAACAGGCTACTGCCATCATCATCAGAATTGGGGGGAAAAGACCACCCTCAAACTTGGGAAAGATATGCAAATATATTTATTCAATAATGGTATAGTACATCATATATTCAATTTCCAAATAAGAAGTGTAAATGAAAAGGGCTACAGGAGTTTGAAGCAAGAGTCCTCCAGGAGGGTAGAGATGACTAGGAAAAGCTCACAGAAAATACTTGAACTTGGCCTTGAAGACTAGAAGGATCACAGAGCAGATATAAGGATGAGAAGCTGCCAGACTTCTTCCAGGAACAACTTTTTTCACTCTAATCGTGTGTTGACTGGAAAAAAACTGTACCTCTTCTAAGTGTTCAAATATTAACACCAACCCTTGATGCTGTCCTTTCAACATTTGCTGCAAAAGCTCATCTTCCTTATTCTCATTTGATGTCTCTGTTCTTCATCATCACTGAGTTACTTAAAAATTCATTTGAAGGAACCACCTGATAACTAAAACAAAGAGAATATTAAATTGGTCCCTATGCAGCCAAGCATCCAGGGAGCCCTTCATTAATGTTAATTGATGATGACAACATCTCTGTTGTGTGAATTTAAAATGACACAAAGAAAAATACACTGTGGAACATAAAACAAAAATCCTCTGCAGGAAAATAAATAGTCCAGATCTTATAGAGTGGGAAAGATACCACTTTTTTACCACACAATGCTGAGGTTGGATCAGCAAAAGCAAACATGTAGAATGTAGTCTTTCTGATAAACAAGGATGATGGTAACTGTAGTAGAGATCTACCGGGCAGGGAATAAATGGCTGGTGGTAAAAATAATTCAGTCATGTCTGAGATTTACTAAAGATATACTACAAGAAAAATTTACTTTGTGATTATCAAACAAAAATCTATCCCTGGTTTATGGGTCAAAAGTGTGGAAATGAATATGGGACAGCTTCTTTGTAAATAGGTTGTGTAGACTTTGTTTTACTAGGTCTTGTCTTCTCTGCTACTATAGGAAATATACCCAATACCCTCCAAAGTTTCACCCAAGTGTTTTGGGAGTCTCACACATGCTCATGGCTACATGAATGTGCACAGCAACATCACCACTAGTTCCAATAATCATGATCTGGAGGTGTCACTCTGCTGCCCACAATAGCTTGGTATTGAGTCTCCAGTGGGCACAGCTAATACGAAACTGTCCCACCTAGGGGCTTGTGACAAAGCCCCATTCTCCTTTGTTGTGTTCCCTCTTTTAAGTGAGTGCCTTAGTTTTGTTTTGGGTTTTGTTATGCTTTTACTTTCAGTTCTGCTTTAACTTTCCTCATCTCCAGTGGGTTCTAAGTGAAGTCCAAGGAGCCAAGGTAGGGCAGCCATTCTTCTAGTGATAGAACTCATGCTATGCTCCCCTCTACCACTAGGAGGTGCTCTGGTTGGGATTAAGGTATCATAACAGCTTCCCTGTATGGATTTCCCCATTTCTCTTACAAATACATTTCTGTCTATTGCCGCTAAAAGACTGAATTAGAACCTTAGCGAAGGACAAATTACAATCCTTTTGACCCAGCAATTCCTCTTCTATAAATTTGCCTTACAGATAGACCCATACAAATTTTAAAAGGATAGGCATTTAAGATTATTTAATGCATTGTTTCTAATAACAAAAGGTAGGAAACAACCTGTCTATCTAGAGGGGACTAGTTAAATATACCATGGCTCATCTGAGACCCAGAGAAAAAGCAAGCTCTACAGCAAGTCCAAAGGGCAGTGCAGGCTGCTCTACCACATACGAGTTCCTGACCCAGGCTGCCAGGTAGGCTGGGTCCCCCTTTGAGTATCAAGTATCTATTGAGAAGAACAAAAACTAGGCATTTCAACAAAGAGAATTTATTATAAGCTATTGGCCAATTACTGATCAGAAGACTTTAAAAAGCCAAACGAAGAAAAGGGAGATTGTCACTCCAGGAAACAGCTCACACCTTGAGGCAAAGAGCACAAAGCAAAAATGTGCAGGTCCCTAGAATACAGAGCTTTATGGGAGAGGCCTGTGGAGTTGGTCAGACCTCTGAGAAGGGTCACTGTCCAGCTGGTGCAAGTGCCTGTGAAGGAACCAAATGAGGCTGCCTTTAGGAATGCCAAAAAGGAAAACAGAAAAAAGGGAAGCTGGAGCCTTCAATCAGCCAGCTGCCACTGTGGGATGATTGCTGCCATAGGGACTAAGGTCACTGCTTAGGTCCTACTGAGCGGAGCAGCAGGCAAAAGAGAGCATTCCCACTGTCTTCTCTTGGCTAGCCTAACAGGGAGCTGGCCTTATGGTTTGCAGAGTCTGAGGATCAGGAATCAACAGGCCACTGCATATTCATTTTCACACACTCATGCAAACCTTAAAGAGAAAGAGGCAACCATACAAGCTAGTATGGCAAAACTGGCAGAGAAAAAAGCAAGGCACAGAGGTAGAGGTGTGTGTGTGTGTTTGTGAGCACGCACACATGCGTGTGTGTGATGTAGCATCAGTTGACATTAAAAGAAGAAAGATGATGGCAAAAGAAAAAAATCTGTCATAAGGTATCATATAATGGCATCATTCATAGGGACATTTTCCCTTCCGCTCCATAGAAATCAGCCATAAGGATACATATAAAAACAGTAAAGTATTGGTAACTGTCATTCGGGCAGTTCTTAACCCAAAATAACTCTTTCCATTGGTCCTTTCTAGAATTATCTTAATTTACATATATCATATAAAACTATTGCTTCTTAAAAAGACTAAAAATCCTTTAAAGCAACTGTTATTTGTGCTTAAAATATAAATGCTTTGGGGAAGGGGTTTGTGCTCAGGGCCTGGGTGCTGTAGGGAAAGCTCAGGGAGCTTTTTCTGCTAAAGGCTGGTACTCTACCACTTGAGCCACAGCACCACTTCTGGCTTTTTAATAGTTAATTGGAGATCAGATTCTCATGGACTTTCCTACCCCAGCTGTCTTCAAACCACAATCCACAGATCTCAGCCTCCTGAGTGTGAACCACTCGGGTGTGAACCACTGGCCCTCAGCTATAAATGCTCTGGTATACAATTCATTCAACTAAAACCAAAAGTCAATCATTTTATAAATCTAACCAACTCTCATTTTCTCAGTAGCTGTTGAAACATGGGTGAATTTGTATTTGCCAGTAACTGTATTTATTTTTATTTAACAACAACAATAAGAAAAACTCTGTAGGAGGAAAGCACTATGAGACACAGGTTGAACAAAGGAGATATAAAGATAGGTAAGACACAGGCCTGACTTCAATGACGATTGTTATCTGATGGTCACAGGGGAGGAAGACACATATACAAAGAACACAGGAAATAAAAGGAAAGGAGGAAGCAAGGCAGGGACTAAAGATGCTTTTCAATCTAGTGCTAAAGAAGTTTAATTTGTGATGGGACTAAAGAACAGGCGGTATAAAGGAACTGTTTTTAAATTCCATCCTGGCAAACACCTGCTCTAGGGCCTTTTACTTTCTCTTTGTTCTGCCCCTGGTTATTGAATCCAGGCCAGACCAAACTTTCCTTGGGAAGATTTTACTAAGATTTGCTCCAGATCAGTTCCAAAAAAGGTAAATCATACTCCATCCCTGCCTGCCCTCTACTTGGTTGATTCAGAAATCAGAGTCAAGTTGTTTTAGAAACTACTCATTCATCAACAGAGTATTAAAAACTGCATTGTCTTTACATAATAGATAATAGTCTCTGCAGTTCCGTATGAGGTGACTGAAATTCCAATTTCCAGGCCTCAGGTTCCTCCATTCTGTACCTTTCTCTCCATGAAACTTAATTGGAGTTTCATTGGTAAAGCTTAAACCCAACTTTTGCCAAAAAGTAATCACATTGATGAGCCCTTTCTTTACCTTCTACCATTAAGCAGTGACTGGGTTTTTTTTCCCCTCACATGAATGTTTTTTTCTGATTGCACAACTAAAAACTAAATGACATTTAAATCAATGCACTCTGTCTCAGGAGCAAAATTGCTGATACTTCTCATTAATGTCAGTAAGAATCAAATAAACAGGATCAGCGATTAAGACTTACCAATGAGCCAAGTGCAATTTGCCCTCCAGATTTTTAGCCATAGGATGCCTTTGTTGACAATGGAGTATCTCTGGCTTTTGAATCTGTGTGACACCTTTGGGAAGGATTTGGAGGGACTCCAGCTTCTCTTAACAAGGGTTCTGTGTGTGTGTGTGTGTGTGTGTGTGTGTGTGTGTTTTAAATT